CCGTTGAGATTAGTGCGTGTTGATCAATCCCAATGTGCTATTCCATACATCATAACGACGAGACAGCAAACGTCATCTACCGCTAACACAGCTGGGATGCAGCCAGTAAAGGGGCGTAAAAAATGAGGAAATGCATTTTGTTAGGGCAGGTCATTCGCCGGACCGATCTCCAAGGGGCAAAGATGATAAATGGCTCGAGGACATTTAGGCTCCAGAAACGGCGAACATATAGGCTGGCCAGCCGAAAACCACATGGAAGTCGTGAAAGCGTTCGCTATTTGTCGAATTTATCTCTATCGCTATTATTTGCTTTTTATCACGCCCTAGGAGGGCAGTCACGTATAGCGAGGCGCAGTAAACGATGACTGTAGATGCACTACTAAACCCATTTATTGAGAGAAAAAAGCCATGCGTTCGAATACCAGTTATACATTTTTTAAATTGCCCTCTTGAATTTTTTGCGATTCGGTTATACTTCATTTACCTATGACTACGATATATCCTGCCCGTTCATTTAAAGCCATGCACTTTTAGTCATATTTAGTATGTAAACAGGATTTTCTTGCCTGCAGATGCATATCACTACTAGTATACAGGGAGCAAATGTCACCCAATATGGCCAAATATGAATGGTCGCGAGTGGACCTTCAGGAAAAAGTTCCACACAAATTCACAATTGATTTCTAAGAAGCTATATAATTATATACATATAGCAATGACGTTTTTCTGAATAGTTTAGCTGCCTTTAACCTGGTAATTGCGGGTCGACGATTTGGAAATTGTACGCGTTTAATATAGGTAACAATAAGATCTCCGACGTCATACATCCTAATTCGAGACGCGATATTTGCCACGGTTTAACAGAAATTGCCCTCTAGAAAATGCTTTTGATCTTTCAACGTAATTATAAACAGCATACTTCGAACCTGTTCAGTTTAATCCCGCAAAAAAAACTAATTTATTCGTAACAGCTGTACGATAATAAGAACATCTTTAAAGATTCACTGTAGAGACGACTATTTTTGACATAATTTTATATTTCTGTTTTTTTTTTTCCGTTTAATTAACGTGTTTCTCCGCTGCGATAAGGAATCGTTATATGACAACAATATTTTTATACGTTTGTGGTGCTATTCGAGCCATTCAGCTTCTTACTATATCTGTAATTGCTATTAAGGACATTTTGTGGCTGGTGGTGAAGGGAAAAAGGCTTCCTCGTGTATAATTAGCCTTGTTACGACCTATAGACACCGTAATATTGCTCGCGAATCGATGAAAGCAGCTAATACTAAATATATTTATTATTACACTCACTTGTAATACGCTGGAAAGTTTGTGCTATTTAGTACGACTTACGCCATGCATGAGTATTATCTGAAATAATACAAACATAATTTTTCTATTATTTAACTTATAATATAGTACTACACTCAAACCGGTATCACTGTGCCATATTAACCAATCTCGAATCAAATAAACGATCTCATAGATTTCAGTCTACCTACTTGTACTTACTGCCATGTAGTGCCATCCAGCGTTAGATAAGCTAGCCCTGGGTTTATCTGGCAGTTGAGTCCATCTATTATCACACTGACTGTCTACCCAAAATTTCACAGATCATATCAGGTCATAAATACTATGTTGCAACACGAACTGCAATTCAAATCTATTAAGCTGCTCTAGATACCAATTTGAACAACCCGCCCACTCTGCACCACTTACGAACTGTGCTATAACGATACGCCTAACTCGACGTGAATTAGATATAATAAAAATACCGCTGCGAGTTGTAAGACTCCAGGGGCTCTTATGTTTTCCGACGTCATCTTGCCCTTAGCTCACGCCCCTGAATTACTGCCTGGGCAGGTTGCTTCTCACTGCTGATAGCACTTACATAACCCAGAGAGGTTTTCGCCGAGATAAAGCTGTCCGACTTCGTCCTTGACGATACCGCTTTTCTCTATGTCGAGATTCATATAATGGCGAACGTACCGTATTGATATCTCGCATTTAATTAATAATCACAAGGTAGAGTGCATAATGTACGCTGGCGTATGTTTCGGTCTCTTTTGCATCAGAACTTCCAACAAAGCGTCTCGCCTGACAAAGCACAGATAATCGTATTCTATTTTTCGTTTACAGAATACGACGGATTAGTTTTAAAAACATCTGCACATTGCCTTAGGAGGCCATGATCAAATTCGAGATTCATGCGACGTCTACGTTCGCTTATCGTATATTTCATCATTATCATATATTTATCGTTATACAAAAAAACGTCGTTGTTTTTAGACCAGGTAAGTAGTTGAAGAAAAAGCAGCGGGAGGTATATAGAATATCCAAGGGCATATTGACTATGGCATGTTCCTTAGAAACGACTGCAGCACACAATACGTCATGGATATTTTCAGCCGACTATCAAATTCTGGATTGGTCATTACGTGCTGGTAGTCAAATAAACGTGTGCACGCCTTGAAGATGATTTTTGCACCAATCAAATAGCGGAAGCTCCACCGGCTCTAAGCGACGAGAGCAACGACTAATCAGGAGGGGATGCCCTCTTCCGCCCGCTATTCGCTAGTCATCCACAGGAAACGCATTACACGATCCGCTTCCGGCCCTTGACCTCGCGTCGAACGCCTCGTCCTTCTCGTGCATTATTCTGTGTACGTTCAACATTAACGCCTAGAACACTGCATGTGAGTTTTTTTTATACTACTATAGATTTTTAGATAGAGGCAACGGCAAAAAAATAATCTATGGCATCTTGTTCTGTAGCTGATCTAGACGCAAGTAAGCTTTGTCCAGCAACAAAACCGATATGCTTCACTGTGATCATTCCCTAGTTCATTTTTTACACCCATCGAGCCTTTAGGCTTAAGGTCGCCATCTACTGGTACCTTTTGAATTTCGCTAGCTTTCAAATATGATTCTTTAGGATGCGATAAACATGCATATTCAGAAATATATTCTGCGATCATTAGTTTTCATGGCTTGAATGGCATAATCTTATAATCTTTTCGAACAAACAGAGAGGTTCCTCTGTCCAGTTTCTAGGTCCATTCCAATAGTGTGTCAGTCTGCCTAGGTTGTGGCTGATTTTCTGTTTCAGCGTAGGCATAACATGACATACTGGTCTATATATGGCAGCGGCTTACACCGCACATCAAAATAATCTATCCGCCATTACGAACATAAATAATGATTCTCGAAATCCAGGGCCGATTCGAGGCCCTTGTTCAAGCGACCAACTAGCTAGCTAGTCGGCGAACCACCGGCAAAAGGACCTTCGTTTGCAGGACTGTTCTGGCGCGCCTGGATAGAAGGAACAATTTGCGGAAGAGTTTCCTGAACTTTTCCTCAGAATGAGCAATAGCGCAAAGACCATCACCGGATGGAACGGGCAACGGCAGAAAATCGATCGGTATTGCTGAAGCCGAGCGCCGACGGCGAAGGAGCGGTAGCAGCAGCGGGGCGGACAGGCGAACGACGTTTTTAAAGCTTCCTCTGCTGCTTCATGAGTTCTAGGAGGCACGAACTCAGTAAAGCGCTGAAAAAATACAGGTAAAATAATGAGAAGAAAAGAACGGTTTCAACGAAGTCGGAGGAGAATTGAAGAAGGCAAACAAAGGAAACGCTCCGCACCACTGATAACACCACAGGGCGGTCGTTGATCGAAGAATAGCAATATTAAATTGACGTTGACGGACATCGTGCATTGCACGTAAAATGCACTATAAAGGGCGAGAGAAAATACTATCCATAGGGAAGCATTGGTACAAATATAACACATACGCACTTATAGAAGACAATTGTAAAGCCATACACTGCAGTCAACATATTAAAAAATACGAGTTAGGTGTACATTTTTTATCGATTAACAATAGATATAAGTGCGCTACCAGAAAATCATACATGATTCGTATGTTGAATCACGACCTAACTACATTTAATAATAGTAACAGTGATAACGATAAGTATATTGTTTCAATAATGACCAGTGGAGATACCTTTTTGCTGCGATCATAATCACTCACTTACATTTCACTATATTGGAAGTACAAGTTACTGACACGTAACGAACTATTGCTTGTTCAGCGACAAAAACAGTCGGAACGTCTACAACTGCGTTCGCTGCCAAGGAACTTGATTCACGAATGATCGAGAAGTACGGGTACTCTAGCTAAAAATTTTAAATTGTCTCACTCCTTTCTTATGGGATGTAACAATTAAAAGAACTAGTACATCGAATGATGGATGAGGTGAGCACGTCAAAGCAATTGCAACGAAAAGTTCATTATACAGCCGAACTTAGCATGAACTTCAATTGTTCCTAGCATTTTCCCACATGTAATATACATACGACATATGTAATACCCAAACGGGCAAAAGATTAGGTGGCGGCTTGTATTTATTTAAAAAACATCTAAACAATGTTTCCTTGGACTACTACACAGTGAGTAACGATAGGACACCAGGCAAACTCACGCATAATCGCTATGAATGGCGTAATTGATTTAAATCCGTACTCTCTGTAGTACAGACGGAGATTTCCTGTCTAGATCCTGGAAAGCTGTGCGAATTCGGATTAAAGTTGCATAGACCTATCAGCTTAGGCCCAAGATTTTTCGACTGGTTGATTCTAGTCAAACCATCCCCCTAATTCTCATTCTGAACCAACCAATATCAGCTGACATAAAAAAAAATTCGGAGTCTTCCGACCCTCGAAACTCTGCGCCTCTTTCAATAGCATTAGCATTGTTTTCGGTAACGACACTAGACGTAGCTTTCCTTGCCTGAGAATTATAAATAACTGTCAATTCTATGAAATCTGGGAGTTATGAGAAGATAATCACACATGCGGAATATTGTATTGATTTTAAAAAAAAACTGTTGTCAAATGGTCGTGATCACGTGGCCACTTTCTGGTGTGACAAAGCTTTGCACCTGTCCAACTGAATCCGTTTTCTCTAATGCTTGAATTTTTGTTTGGGTTACAGGAGACGAGGCGTAGAGCCCAGCCATGATGGCGGCACCTCAGGCGTGTTTAGTAGGTCGAAATCTTTTGGCCACTATTTTAGCGCTTTTGCTAGGGATGACCATTTGTCTGCCTACTGACACCGTCACAACAGGCCCCAACGAAGAAGAATCTGGACTGCACAAAAGAGGTTAGACAGGAGACATACGACGTAGTAGAAACAGAAGTATCAACATTAACACTCGTATTAACTCAAAACGAACCACTAGATAATATAGGCAAAGATCTTTATTCAAACTATAACTAGTTGATTCTGAAACACGTAATCAGCGCCACATGTTGATTTTCATTACGTATTCGTATGATTATACCAATATTTGTGACACTGCAATTATAAATAGATGCTCGCAAACATCAGCCTCCGCGAGAAAACGTTCATATATAGAGAGGAACTACACCTGCAATTTCTTAGTAAGGAGTGGTTTGAGCGAGCGGTGGGTCACGCCGCTAGCCGCTGGCGTCCTTTTCTGTGACTGTACTGAAGTCCGTCTTCGTCCTGTTTACGTCTGCTAATACTTTATTCATTGAGTAATAGAGGTTAGGCTGTTTAAGAGTTTACTATTACTATTTTATCTGTGTTTTTTTGTTTCCGCTCAATGTCTGTGCCGCAGGGGCAAAAAAAAACGAGGAGGCACACGATAACGACCAACGCGATCTATTAGTGCTTCAATTCGCTTGAAGCCGCCCATCAACTGAATAAATCACAAATTTGTGCGTAACATTGCTAACGCTTTTGATTAGCTCGGTGCGACTGCCCGTCGCCCCTTTTAGAGGCTTCTAGTGCCGCCTTTTTATAGCCACCAGGAGGAAATGAACTATTGATCGCTGTTTGTACTGTGAGAGATTTTCCCCAGGGGTACTATGGAATATAAAGAAGGCTAGTCATATTCGTAATAGCAGTAACAACTAGTGATAGTAGCGGCTATTAACTGGTAGATGGCATGTCCCATGAGTTGCACAATGTTTAGCCACGTGCTGCTGTGAGCTGTGGCGATAATTTAGGGGGTTCAATAAAAAATCTGAGCGTCTCACAACGGTTCTTTGATCATATTAATACTGTATTCGTCGCTAAAAATGAGATCAAATAGAACAATTAGGATTTACAGAAATGTCCCACTTGCTAATCGCATAATAAAATCAGTGCGTATAATTACCCTGGTCGATCTAATTTTATCAGGTTGTTACTCGTCGGATCCGTCGCCGCTACTAAATGCACCCCTGTCCCGAGTCCTGTCGGGTCATGTGAATGCTGTCTGAGCTGGTAATGCGCAATAGATGCATAAAAGTCAACACGTTTCCATGTCCATTAGTAAATCAAGCTGCCGTATTTGTACTCGCTAGCGTGCCTCTCTGCTACCGTATCCGAATAAGAGCACCCAAATGTCGATGGGTGGCGTATGCAGTCTGCGATACTGCTTTCCTGTAACAGCCTTGCTGAACTGGACGAACCTCTAACCGTCTGAAATCTAAGTCTTTTGGTCTCCGTGGCACCTGGTGATGCCATATTACCAAATGGTGCCGACAAAAGCCCCGTTGTCTGATAACGTTCATACAATTCAAACCAGCGCTTTTGCCATCAAAAGGGAAACTCATGATGCCCTTAGCGGCCTGTCAAGCAAGCCGACCCTACGGGTTGCTCAACCAAGTCCAAACCCTAAGCCACGTCAGGTATTCCCACTGTACAGCTACGGCACAGTTAGAGCAAGCACCTGCTTTGCCTGTTCACAACGTAACGGTCAACGTATCTAGCAACAACCCACCCTATGGCCCAAAGGCTGGTCGAGCACCCTCGTCCACTGCCGTCGACAGGAAAAATGTATGGTTTCTCTTTGCTCCCATGCCAACATCATCGACGTCTTACTATCGCTACTGCTTCTGCGAAAGAGGGAAAACGAAACGCCTTACGAGGACCTGTCTGAGGAATTCCTGCCCCCCCAAGAGTCGTAGTGAGGTGGTGAGAACTCGCACAAAGGCATCCTCTGCGACGCCAAACGGTGCATAGCGTTAGGCACTGCGATGATTTACGTCTACAACTACTATCTGTTGGTTAGAAGCGTGGTCCCGGTGCTAACGAAAACTGGTGGCGCGAGCGATGGCACCACGTCTTGAATTCCCTTTTCCCACCAATCCGCTTATTCTAAGGAACGCTGTAATGTTTTTCGGTTAGATGAAAAGGCGTCTGAGGAATCGAGAGGGTGAGGCCGCGTTAAGGGTTACTCGAGCTGTCTCGAGGGCGACGACGACGAAGAAGACGTTTTGTCTGGTATCGCTTTGCTTGCGGTTAGAGGGGTGACGAAAGGAACGGTAGCGACAACCGCTGCGTATCACAATTTCAGTAGAAGAAACGCCAGCGATGCTAAGCGAGCGACGATATTCGAATGAACTGACAAAATGCCCTTTGACAGTGTTCTGCTCCAACTATATGGGAATCCGTCGACATGGAATACGATGCTACGAGTACGAAAGCGGGAAAATAAAAATATACTCTTAATTTTTTTGCTAGCTTCAGAAATAGCTCAGAACCTGAGACAGCAGGTAAAACCCAAAAAGTAAATGTTTCGATATTTAGATCCAGAACCGCATTTAAGCGTTCCGTCAGACGGCTGACTTCAAAGTGTGTCGACGCCTGTACAAAATCGGGCCTCATTATAACGGATAGCGAGAGGGAACAAGGGCCGAGTAATGAGAATGATGAACATGAAAAATCACAGTCAGTCTAACAGCAGAACCGATTAGCGTGGGCGATGCACCAATTCACCGCATTATTTACGTGTAAATAGCATATTTCATTGTCGACTGCTTGGTGAAGATGGGTTTGTTACGAAATGTTTACTATTGCTAGGCGGCCTTCTGCTTCATTGGCTGTCACGTTTAGGTTGCGAGGGTAGAGGTCCTCTGTCAAACTCGACACATTGTACCAACAGACCGCAAGACATCACTCTCTTACGCCTTGGCATGCTTCTATCCTTGAGGTGTATACGTATATATATATGCAAAATTCTCTTGAAACAGCATATATTTGAAGCGTCTTAGAGATTTCGCCAGTGGAACTAAAAAGCGATACATTTGTCTGATATGCAAATGTAATACTTTCACTCTTGGGATGGTTCTCTTGAGGGCTCTCACAAGATCTACATCCGACTGTCTCAGTATACATAATACCACTGAGCTCCTGTTCTACACAAGAAAATTACACGAGACCTATTGAGAAATATGCCGACGCCAACCTTCCTTTCCGTGCGGACACCAACATACTCTTTAAGATGAGCGTCGTGCAAAGGGAAAACCTTAAATATGTCAGTTCAGGTTTGACCTATCTAGAGAAAATAGGCCAGACTGCAAAGCGTTTAATCTATAACAATACTTGTTTTGCTCGAGAGACGAAAAGCTTCCAAGTTTGAATATAACTTATATATATATATATATGATAGTCTATCCTGTGATGACATGAATTCATTTAGATTGGTTTATTTTGACTACAATTTAATTACTCTTATCGGGTAAGTTATAAAAGAGATATGAAACGATTTGACACCGCGCGAGGCAACAAGGCTCAAACGATCTTATTGATTCGTCCATACAAAAATACAGGAAAACTTTAACCGCAAAGTGTTGTGTTAAACACATATAATTCCGTTTACACTTGCTATAATTGATGCGTAATCTCATCATTTTGAATTTACTATCGCCGGCAAACGGCCGGGGTGCGCTGATTTGGACTTCTGCGTCAGTTCGATGACTCAAGTTGATTCTCGATCATTGGCTGCACCCGTAAATGTTATGGCTGCAAAAAGACAACAGGGCACGTAATAATATGGCTTCACCAGCCACAGTAGCGGCAGCCAAGAAAAGATGGCTTGTTCCTCTCGGCAGACGGACCGCTGGTTGGAGTGGCCTTGTTTTTCCACTGTCACCAGGCGTCTCTCTCGCCGTCTGTCCTGCCTTCTTTCTTCGTCCTGCTCTTCGCCAGGGACAAAGAAGCAACATTCAGCAAAATCCTAACGGTTCTAAGCCGCTTGCTTCCTGTCTGTGCCAGTCTGCTGGGAAGATTTCGTTTCGGGTTGGGAGGATCTCAGAGACATTCCAATCTCTTTCTTGTCCGGCCGAGTGCTTCCACCTCAGACAAGCCCAATTCGCTTGGGCCTGGGTAGAATGCCCCTTTAACATTTCGACCGTTTGCTCCGGGCATCTCCCCATTGGCGACGTGGCTTCTCCGCTGTCTTCCCGAGAGTCAACGAGGAGTCAACGAGGAACCGACGGCGCGGAGAGCATCAGTGTAGCTCCGATTCCTCAATCCTGCAGCTATCCAGTCGCTATTTCGCTGCTGCCGTTTGTGTTAGCTGTTGGCAGAGTCAAAACACTCGAGCAGCCACCAGTGCTTCGGCCGGGCACCAAATTAATACTCCCTCGCTGCACGCCCTTTACTCATCCGCTGGTTCTCCGGGACACGAAGAATACCGAAGGGGGAATGGAACTGAGGAGAGGGCGGGATAGTGCAAGTAGGCACCCTTAAAGGAGCTCGTCGGGGGGAGAGAGAGAGAGAGAGAGAGAGGTCGCCTGGGCGACTCACCCTATGCCTGGGGTAACTGGCTCTTGTGGAATGCTGCTAGCCGCTCATCCGGCCGCCCGTCGCCCGCCAAACTCCATACTTTTAACCCCTCTGCCAAATCTCTGCCTGGCATAGCAGCGACCAAATAGCAGAGACCATCGAATGCGAATTTGTCCTGACCGTTCCCTGGTGAAAATTCGCTTGCTGCCGGTGAAAGAGCGCCGAAGGACAAACCGTCTAACCACCCACCTAGAAGCAAGGACAAACTGCTGCTGGTCCTTTGGAGAGTGATGTATATACATATGTCTTGGAAAGAATGAAAACGAAAACACTTAAGGGAAGTCAAAGGAAAAATTACGAGACGAACAAAGAAAAAGGTTGCTTAAACGGACAGGCAAAAGAGGATTTTCCCCGAAGAGGAATATGAGTTCGGATGGTTGATATAGCCACGTGTGTGATTACTGCAGAAGGAATTCCATTGATAGTACCGTACGCGTATAGCCAAGACAAAGCTCTGCAGCAGTCAATGCGTATCAATTTGAAACAGACAAGTCGACACAAGCTAACAAGTGGCCCAATAT